GCGCGGCGGGGAGGGGCCCGGGATGGGGGCCCCCCCCCCCCCCCCAGAACTGCCTGGCACTTGCGATCTGCCCTCTCCCCCGGGTGCCCCCGGTCCCAGCGCGCGGGGTGAGGAGGAGCGGGGTGGTGGCGAGGGGAGACCCCCCCCTGCAGGCACCGGGACACTCCGGGGAGGCCTCCTTTAAAGGAAAAAAAAAAAAAAATCCATCTTGATTGTACATTGTTACTTTTTATAGCTTATTTTGTTTTATCAGTTGTAGATAATTCCTTGTTGTCTTATATTAAGAAATACTTGAACGATGTACAGTGCGCGATGCCTTGAGCTGGTATTGTGAAAGCTATTGTTAATGCTGCACGCCGCAGCCTTTTTTTTTTTTTAAAGAAAACAAAAAAATCATGGGAAGGGGATGGCAGGGGGATGTCTTTGAAATGTTTCTGTCCCCCATGCTTTTCTTGGCAAACCGAGTTTCCCCCTCGTCCCATGTGCAAGACCTAACTCTTGTGTTTATATATATATATATATATACACACACACACTCTTCTGATGGCTGGTGCGTGGCCTGGGTGACCCATGCGGTGCGGGAGCTTGTCCCCGTGGGTGCTGTGCCGGTGCGTGGGCATCCTCGGCCGGGGATGCCTGCAGCCAGCAGATGCTTGCGGGTGTTTGTGGCGAGGGTCTGGACGTGCCGGGGAGCACCCGAGCTCTTTGCTGGTTGCTCGGCCCAGGCTTGGCTTTGCGTTTTGGCTTGCGGGTTCGGTTTGACCGTGGACCCGGCGTTCCTGGCATGGCACTCCTGGGGGGACCCGTGGCACCGGGATGGTGAGCTCCCAGTACCTCTGGTGTGCGGCGTGCGTGGCAGGGTCTGTGTGTTTATAGAGGATCCTTAAATGCCTCCAGAGCTGGGGGATTGACTCTGAAACACCTCTAGCCCTGACTCGTGGCGGTGTTGGGGACCCATGGGGGCCTGGCACCACACCAGGCTGGCTGGGGAGATGCTCGTGCCGGGGCTGGGCATCCCCTCCCTGCTGCCGGTGCCTCTCCGGGGTGGTTTCCAGACAGATGCTCCCCGACCTGTGGTCCAGCACCAGCTTAACCCCTCTCACCACCGCCCTTCTTCCTCCTCTTCCTCTTTCAAAGCCTTTCCCCCCCGTAGAGCATCTGTCTTGGAAACCAACTTCAAAAAGATATGGTTTGTTTTTTTTTTAAGCTGGAAATTTTAAGTGTTTTGGCTTCCTCTCCTTCCCCCCCGCCCTTCCTTCGGCCGACTAACTCGACTTAGAACTGGTTAGAAACGTTTACTGTGAAGCTAACTTTTTTTTAATCAAAACAGGAGAAACTTTCTCCGCTTTACAATTGATGAAGACTGCCAAAGCTGGTTCGACAAGAGTCATGTTAACGCACTGTTGGTTTGTACAATGGCAGCCTCCGCTCGGAGGCTGGCTGGAAAATAAAAATGAAAAAAAAAAAACAAAAACAAAAACAAAAAAACACAAAAAACCCAAACAAAAAAAAAAGGAAAAAAAAAAAACCAACACAAAAACAAGCACTTTACTGTATGTACCAGGTGAACTGATACAGCTGAATTGAAGTTTTCCTTTATAACAATTGTTGATGCCAGAATTTTGTATTCTGTTTTGTAAGGATTTAATAAAAATGCATTGAGATCTACCTGGGCCGCGCGTGGCTGGGGGCAGGCTGGGCAGCGCGGGGCCGCGGCCGGCTGCTGGGGGGAGATTTGGGCAGGCGGCGGGGAGGGAAGCGAGCCCCCCGGTGCTCCGTCCAAGGGCTCTTCCCATGGTCGTCCTTCCCAGCCTCCACTGGCTCCTTCCCAGCCCACTGCTGGCCCGAAGGGGGCTGGGAGGGCGGCCGGGGGCCGGGCAGGGCTGGAGCCGCAGGGCGGTGGGGTCGGATGCCAGGAATACGGGCTGGCAGCGGCTCAGGCCCTGACTCACTTTTCCCAGCGGGGTGGTGTGATCGGCCGAGTCCCCCGATGGGTTGGTGGGTCACGGGTGCGGCACTGTGCTCCCTGCCAGCCCCAAACAGCGGCACAGAGGCTGCCCGCTGCCCTGCCACCCCTTGGAGATACCCCTGGCCCTTTGTCTCCCCCCCGTCCCCTTATCTTTCCGGTTGTGGAAGGAGAAACTGAGGCAAGAGGAAAGTGCGCGGTGGGATGTTGGGGATGTGGGCAGCAGCAGGGACTGGAGGCTGGTGATCAGGATGCGGGAGAAGGGCTGCGGCAGCCCTGCTGTGCTTTCTTCTGTCGGCAGGAGAGACCTTGTTGATTATTTTTTTTTAAATGCATTTTAATTTTTAAGGTGTTTTCTGGCCTTGTATAAGTAAGTTTTCCAGCCCTGCTGCCATGCCGGAGGATGGAGCTGTGGGCCCTCTGGATGCCATTGCCGTGGCTGCTGGGGACGCCCTGCCTGGCGCTGCTGTCCCAGCAGACCCCGCTTCTGAGGACGGGGCTGCGAGTTCTGCTGGCGCCCAGTAGCTCTGCACGCTGGCGAGGGCGGCTTGGAGCAGAGAAAGTCCCGCAGCAACTCGCTGCCGAGAAGTCCGTGCTCGCTGCTTGAAAATGGTGCAGCTGC